TGACATTTTGCCGGCCAAGGCCGTGTCTAATTCGTTGCGCTTTTTCATTTCCGCTTCCATTGCGGCAATGCGATCCTGCAACTTTGCGGAGCCTTCCAGGGCTTCATTCGGCTGACAAGCAAAGCTTGCCGCCAGGATTACGATGGACAATAGCTTTCTCATTTCTTTAAAGCCGGAAATTTCATTTTGTAGCCCACTTTTACCTTGCCGCTTGAAATATTACTCAGGCGTTTTTTAATCATCGATTTGCGCAAAGGGCTCAAGTGATCGGTGAAAAGTATTCCGTCAATGTGGTCGTATTCGTGCTGAATTACCCGTGCTTTCAAGCCGTCAAATGTTTCCACCTTCTCGTTCCACTCGCGGTCAAAGTAACGAATGGTTATTTGCTCGGGGCGCTCCACATCGCCACGCACTTCGGGAATGCTCAGGCAGCCTTCGTTAAAAACAAAATCGTCACCGGTTTCCTCTTCAATCTGGGCGTTGATAAAAACCTCCGAAAAGTCGTTCAGGCCCTCTTCATCCTCTTCTCCTTCTTCTACAAAGCCCTTGGTATTCACCACGAATAAGCGAATGGGTTTCCCTATTTGAGGTGCCGCCAGTCCCACGCCATGGGCGTTTTCCATGGTTTCAATCATATTGTCAATCAGCTCCTGCAGTCCGGGGTAATCCTTCGGAATATCCGTTCCTTTTTTTCTTAAAACCGGTGCGCCATAAGCCACAATGGGTAATATCATTCCCTCTGAATTTTTGGCAAAAGTAAGGTGATTAAATTAGAAAAGAAACGCTGCTGATCATCAGCGATTATCAAGGTATTCCTGCAAAATTATGGCCGCGCTAATCGGGTCTAAACTGCCCTTTTGCTGTCTTTTTTTCTTTTTCACTCCGCTTTTCACCAGGGCCTCGGCCGCCATTTTGCTGGTAAAGCGCTCGTCTTGCAACACCAGGGAAATTGACGGAAAAGCACCGCGCAGCTTTTTCATCCATTGCCGAACGCGTTCCGAGTTGTTGCTATCGCCCCCGTGCAAATTAATCGGGTCGCCTAAAACTATGGTTTCCACACTTTCTTGCGAAAGCCATTTATGCAGGTATTCCAGCAATTTCTCGGTGGCCACCGTTTCACGTGGGGAGGCTATAATCTGAAGCTCATCGGTTTCGGCTATGCCGGTGCGCTTTCCTCCAATATCAAGGGCAATAATTTTTGACAATACCTATACTTTTGCGCAAAAGTAAGGCAAAGCATTTATGGAAAATTTATCGGCATACATTGAAGAAGCATGGGAAAACCGCGATTTGCTTCAAAAAGAAGAGTACCTCCAGGCCGTAGAGACGGTAATTGAGGAAATTGACAAAGGCCGCCTACGTTGTGCTGAGCCCA